GGACTGCCTCCATAAGCCTTCCATTGTTTTACAGAGTGCTTATATATTTATTTTTGCATTATTGCAGCTCCAGAGCATTCTGCACTTCATTATGTACAGTACAGTACTATATATTTGTTGCTAGATAGTGGGAGAAATGTTTAGTAATTTTCAGGTAGGTGTTTTAATTGAAAGAGGAGTGAAAAATAAGTGGAGTTTTGGAGGTCTGAAATACAACTGTTATTCCACTAGATTTTATAAATTCCTTACAAGTTACGTTGTCTTCATATAAAGTCAACTCTCATCTTTGTGTTTCTCTACACATGTATTCCTTTAATATTATGTCGAGGAACATGAAGCTGTGAGAGTAGACTTTACTGAATTAGATTTACACAGTATTTTCCAGGAAATTGCAGCCCATAAATAAATCAGATTTTCACAATACAAATTATTTGTATTGTAAAATATTTTAGCATTGGGCACCTTGGTGATACTTTCCTCAGTTCCATGCTTTACCAAAAATATCTAGTCAATTTTATATTTTTATAATGCATTTTACATTTTTTAGAATATTAACTAGAGCCTAAAGGGTAAACCATGCAGGACACCCAGTAGGATGCTATGCTAGACCTAAAAAGTAAGGTCACAGCCTGGTAACACCCTGGGTTACATGGCTGTGAAGGGCAACCTTGGTGCACCATATGTACAAGCACCCAAACTGTCTGTGCGCCCCACTAGCCAATGCTTGCTCTCAACTTGGGACAAGATCGAGGGGGCCAAAAGACCCCTGACTCACCCAAGGTTAGACCCACCCCATACAGAATGAGCCCTTAAGAGCAAACTCCTGAAAACACCAAAGAAGAAAACTCGGTCAATGCTAGAGAACCCTCTGGGAAGGTATCACTGAGCAGCTACAAGCACTCTAAAAGCCAGGCCCACACAACTTCAAAACAATGCATAACACAAGGCCACAAAGGACAAAGTCCAAGAAAGGCCAGCACTTAGCTGAAAAGCACTGGGGCCAGCAATGATTGGCTGACGATCAGACAGCCCTACGTCAGATGTGTTAACATGCTGCCTCAGTGAACAAACCAGATTTACTTTAGCCAGTTGACAGTGAGAGCTAACTCAACCCACAAATGAGTGCATGCTTGTTTTGCGAGAAAATCGATTGTTGGGGAGTTCATTCCACTGGTTGTGAGGCTTAGGTCTCTTTGAACCCAGTAGTTGTCTGTATTGGTTCACTGAATTTCTGGGTGCCTTTTCTGGTGAGGTGGCAGTATGTCACCTGCTCCCTACGCCTCTATGAGGGGCAGCCAGGTTCTGGCTCTGGTACCTAGTGAGCTGAATTAAACTCCACAGCTGGTGCAATCTAGTAGTTGGGAGCCATCTCAACAAGATGAAATTGGCATTTCATTACATTCAATGCTGGTTTTTAAGGTAATGCTGTTATGATCATTTAGACATACTATACAAATATACTGTGTGTGTATGTATAAACACACACATACATAAATTATACAAACACACATATTTAGCCATAAATGCATGTATTTTTATTTTATAATATACATATCCATATCCTGTATAAATAGGCTGGATTTATGTATGGATGCAGTAGCATATAGTTGCAGCTTTGTTTTGAGTGATTGATGTATGTCCATGAATGTGTGTTTGTAACGTGAGTTTTAATATATATATATATATATAATCATATTTTATATTCTATATTTAAAAGTGGTATTCTGCATTGCTCAAGAGTTACATGAATATAGTCTGTCAAATTTAACTCATGGAATCTGATTGAAGATTAACACCTGTGGGAAATGCAGTAATTTAAAATTTTGTTTTTATTTTTGCCTTAAAAGGAAAGGCAAACAGGATTTCAATAAATGTTAATACAGTAATTTTGCTCCTAACATTAACATAATGTTTAGAGGATCAGCTTTGTCATTTTATAGTAGGGCATTAATTTATAAATTAAGGAACAATGATGTTTTCATCTAGGAGGTGAAGAAAACATATTATTTATCAAAAGGAGAACCCAGTCAAATGATTTTTAATTTGGAGTAATATGCAAGAAATATTTGCATATTACTCTCAAATAACTTTCAGTAATTAAGTTATTTAAATTCTTCTAAAATTTACACGTTATATACTGTAATAAGTAATAAATTTTATAATTTTATAAAAGTAAAGATGTTAATAGATAAAGACTTTACATAGTGTTTTGAGTACAGTATTCTTGAATTATTGCGAAGCTTAGTTCAATTGACCTACCCGTTGATTTTAACAATTTACCAATCTCCTATGTTTGCATAATGGCTAGGGCAGTATATTGTCTGTTTCGTCATGCCCCAGCCATCGTGATAACATAGGAGATTACACAGAGAAATCACATTATCATGATATATCAAGGAGACCACAGGAGCCGTGATGAGGATTTGAACCTGTGCGCTGGATATTCCCAGATGCACGCTCTAAACTACTTCACCATGACATGGTCAAAAGAATTGCAACCTGGGGTACTACTGCACCCTCGTGGGTTCCCAAGGCATCACTGAAGCCAAACGACGGTTTCACACAATTCCCCCAGTCACTCTGGCTCTGTCATCCAGTAATTCTACCTCTTATGTTCCTTGTGTGACACTCTCGTTTGGCTTCAGTGAAGCCTCGGGAATCCTTGAGGGGTGCAGTAGTACCTCGGGTTGCAATTCTTTTGACCATGTCATGGCATAGTCATCTAGAGTGTGCATCTAGGAATACCCAGTGCATAGGTTCAAATCCTCATCACTGCTCCTGTGGATTTTCTTATAGGAAATTGATGGCCCTTACGTGAGGTGCACCACAGGAACTTGTGATCATTTGAATTCTGCCTTTGATAATGTAACAAGGGTTAACAAAATGCATCTCTTGGCATCAGGCCAAATAAAAATTGAAAAATGAACTTTGGAGAGTTAATTTTTCAACTTCCTTTTCATTCGAAGAAACGATAAGAAAAATAGACGATTCGGGCTGGAGTCAATGATCTCACCCTTTATCATATTCAGTAACATGTCTTCAAGAAAGACTGCTATCAAATGTACTGTATATATAATATATATATACAGTACTGTATAATATAATGAGTGAGAAAGCTTGAATGGTCCCCTAGCCAGTAAATCGCTAAGAACTATGACCCGACCAGGATTCAAACCTGCATTACCAGGGCTCACCCCACTGGTGTACACAATACTAGTGATTGCCTATTGCTGGCAGAGTAGTATCAGTACTGTACTGTGTATGCCAGCGAGGTGAGTCCTTGTAATGCAGGTTCAAATCCTGGTCAGGTCATTAATGGAGGTTCTTGGAGTTCTTAGTTGATTTATTGGCTAGGGGACCATTCAGGCTTTCTCAGTCTAAAGGAAATATACACACTGAAAATTATACGACAACATTCCTTTCACAATGCACAGTTTGCTGGTAATCTTTCCCATTGATTAGTACACTGATGACAGAAGAAACACATTTACATTGTTAGTCTGTTGCTTCTAAGGTGGGCATGTGGTTTCTCTCTTGATTAGTTTGTCACTTGCACAAATGGCTAATTAGAATAATGTCACAATTCTGAAGTGATAACTAGATCATCTTGAATATAGATGTGGTGGTGTAACTTGACATTTAACTTGACATTGGAGAATGTTGCGAGCTGGTCACTACTAGTTGATCGTACTAGCTGGATCATGCACATCAGGCAAAGGCAGACTCCTGGTACATAATGGCTGTGGCAGGCTTCCTTCAGACCCAACAAGCAGTCAGGTCTATGAGTGGACTAATAAAACGCAGGCACCAGTGCCTGACCCAATCCCGTAGGCTTATACATGTCGACTAGACCCATGATGTCATGAATACATTGTGCTTTACATCCGCAAGTGTTGGAAAACCAGAGACTGGTCCTTTTATCTCCCCTCTTTCTTACTGCTGGCTGGGAACTATGACCTTACAGCTCTCTTGAGGTGGTTGACTCTTGGCCTTAGCTTATAAGATAATAATGTTTAATTTGTTCTAATTAATCAGAGACTGAACAATGACCTTTGTGGTGGTATTGGCCTGCTGGCAATATGGGCTGGAATTTCCAGCATGACCCAACAAGGTAGACCTCATTCCATAATTAAAGATTTTAGGTCAGTGCACTATGATAAAGTGCACACTTGCACTCTCAATCTGATTTCCTTACCATCATGGAGCCCCAATTTGCACAACTAAATTAGTTGTGGAAATCCATTTGCACACCAAGCTTTCTCCTTATTCCATAATTATTGTACTTTATTTTTGTCTGCATTCCCATTTAGAAGTTTTTTGTTCATATAAGTACATTAAAACAACTTTCAATGGATCCACATTTGTACCCATCATAATTTTCTTGAAGAATTTTGACATCTTTTATATAAAGATAGTGAATAATTTATTTCACAGCAGTTTATATATCTAGTACAGTATTCTTGAATTTCCTATTGACTCCTAATCATGTCAAAATTGAACAACAATTGGAACATACCACACAGTCATGGCATACTCTTCCATTGATATCAAAGCTAGATTACCATATTGCACTCTTTTAACTTGAGGCATGGTAACTGTGATATATGGTATAAATACTGCCCTGCATATAATTTACTACACTGTATCTAATTTGTTTTACATTGTACAAAAATAATTATAGTCTTCAGTGAAATCTGTGTTTCTTTTAATTTTTAAGCAACATTTTAGTTTGTGTGGAGCAGGGTGTATGTGCCAGAAAAGGAAAAGTAAAGACAAATATTTTTATTTGGGTTGTGGCTTGTGATGTACTGTAATGCACAAAAACCACTGAATATGCAGTACAAAACTTAATGGTAAAATTAAACTGAAGTATTTCATTACACCATTGTACTACTGTATTTGTGTGGTTAGGTTGGCCGTTTTTGTTGTAGCTCACTAATCGATAAGAGGCATCCATCATTCCTACATTGACTAACACCACCACCACCCCCTATGCATAGCCCATCGCCTCTGCACGCTCCAGTACCAATGGTGATCTGAGCAACTCAGCATCACCTGTCCCCCCTTCCTTCTCACCTCACACCCCCACACTCCTCCCTATCTACGCTCTTGAAGGCTCAACGGAAGATTTGGTGGATTTACAAGTGTATGGATTGCATCATACTAACAAAAGACTCAACAGGGTCAAGGTATGTTGTTAAGATGTGGAGTGAGCATGCTGGATGCTGCATTGTTTTCACATTTATGCACAACTAAGAAATACTATTTGCATGCCTTTAGTTTCTTTAAATTATTCTTGAAAATATCTGTAAATTAAATTATATTAAAAGCATGCAGCATTCTTTATAATTTATTTATGCATTTTCATTATATACTTGTAATCTTTTTGACTCACTTTTTTCTTAGCTTATGCTTTACAAGTACTGTAATGTAATTTTATATTATTGTATGCATTTTTATGACATCCAAGTCCATATCTTGGAAGCAGTACATGTGTAAGGGTTAATGACATATGAGTGATTAGTACACTCCCCCTTTCCTCTGACTCCTTTCCTGTCTTTTCCCCATTCTTGGATGGGTGCCTGATAATCAGTCTTCCTGCAAGTGTTTGGCTTTGTTTTGGTGTGATCACATGTATTCTGTTTTTGTCACCTCATTTCCAGTTGCAAGCGTGTGCAGTAGCTGTTTTTGTCTAATCCGGAGTTGGTTTGATTTGTATCTCTTTCCTCCAGGTTGGTGTTTTCCCCCATTCTTCCTACCTGAGTTTTTCCAGCAGGGTATTCCTCCTTGATGGCCAGTTCAACCTTGCTTTTTGGGCCTTGGATCTTAAATGTCCATTTATGCATGTTCTCTGTAGTTCCGTCTCCTTCCAGAGTTCAGTCGGGTGCCATTCACTGGTGGTTCAGGCTTTTTCAACAATCTTCCCTTGTGGTCTTTCATGATCAGGTATTCGGGAGTCTGTTCTCTCACACCCTTTGGCTGATTCCTTTAAGTGTGGACCCTCTACCAGGTGGTTCTCTTGGAAGGGGTTCACTGCCTTGCAGTGCAGGTGCCGCACTCCATGACTGTAGTCGCCTTTGTTGCTTAATTCTAGCAAATCTTCTGCTTCCTTGTCTACCACAGTTTTCTTGGACACAGTGTTGGGTGGCTTGGCTTATTTTCCACTTTTCTGTCACAACTTCATCTATCATCAGTTTTGGCAGTCTTTGTCTTTTACATCCTGATTTTGGGTTGATCGACAGCTGCTGTCACCTCTTCCTCTGCTTGGGTAGACCCCTCTCGTTGTCTTTTGGTGTGGCCATTTCATCTCCACCTCTTCAGAAGTTGTCTTGGGGTTTTGTGCCTCTAGCAGGTTCTTCTCCTGGGCCCTCTTGGTATGATTTAGACTGCTGCATATTTCATCTTAGGTCTCACAAGGGTTGTGAACAATTTCTTTAATATTTTGCCATCTATGTACCTAAAAGCGATTCTAAAGTTGGAAAGCATAGCATAGGGTCCTCACACAATGCTTTTTATACGGTCCTCAGGTGAGTTTTCTATCCAGAACCGCCGCTAGCTCTTTCATTATCACAATTCTTTAAAGTTTTTCTCATAATTTATAGGTTGTGTGTGACCTATTTTCTCATATTTCACATTCCATAATGTGGCATTTATTCATGCTAAATTCAATTTGCTAAATGTCTTCCATTTCCTGCTTTTTGACATTCCAAAATTATCTACAGGTATTTTTAATATAAAATATTCACATTTTCATATGCATATAGTAATTAGGGGAAAATTTGCATATACAATACCTTCTATTCATTTATACCCTGGTTGCATGGTTAGAAAATGTATCAATTGCCATATTGCTTTTCAGAAGAAAACTAGTGGTGTAGGTGATGTGACACTGGGGGAGTTCAGGAATGTTCTATGTACCCATCCTTAACCCGCATCACTAAAGCTTTTACCCCTCCCACGGTTCTAAAATGCCTTTTCCCTGAGCACTTTTCTTCTCACTCCCGCTCCGTTTCCGTCTTCACCGATGGGTCTAAGTCTGCGAACGGTGTAGGCTACTCTGTTGTTTTTCCTGATTGCACTTATATGTGTCGCTTACCTCCGGAGACTAGCATCTTCACAGCGGAACTTTATGCTATTCTCTATGCTCTTCGTCTCCTGCTTTCTCATTGTTGATCTTCCTTTGTAGTTGTTGTTGACTGTTGTAGTGCCCTCATGGCTCTCGGGTCCTTTAATCCGGTTCATCCAGTGGTTGTCGAGATCCAGCATTGGCTGTTTCTTATTCACAGTAAATTTAAATCGGTTGAGTTTTGTTGGGTTCCCAGCCATATTGGTGTCTCTTTAAATGAGCGTGCAGATGCTGCCGCCAGGGAAGCTGTGCACTCTTATCCCATCTCTCGTAAAGGTATTCCTTATTCTGATTTTTACCCGGTTATCCATTCCTTCATCCTTACCCATTGGCAGGCTTGTTGGTCTTCTGTTACTGGAAACAAACTGCGTACTCTTAAGAGTTGTGTGTCCTCATGGCCGTCCTCCTACCACCGTAACTGGCGATGGGAAACGGTTCTGGTGAGGTTGCGTATTGGCCATACTCGCTTAACTCATGGTCACTTGACAGAGCGCCGCCCTGCTCCTTATTGTCCAAATTGCATTGTCCCTCTTACAGTTGTGCATATCCTTGTTGAATGTCCTAACTTCCGGGACGAGCGTGTGTCTTGTTTTCCAACTGTCCCCCGCGGTCACTTGTCCCCTCGATAATATTCTTGGTGACTCAGATACTTTTGATATCGTTCGCCTTATGATTTTCTGTTCTCGTACTGGCATCCTTGGTGATATTTAGCGCCTTCTGATTATCCTGCACATTTGATGGTGCTACATAGCCTTCCCGGTTTGGTGCCTTCTTTTGATAATTACTTACTCTATGTACCCATCACATTGCCTCAGTAGTTTCTCTTAATGCTTCAGGTGTTTGTGCAGAGGAGCATGCCCTATTTTTAAGTAACTGAAATATAGTGAAATCCTGTTTATTTAGCCTGGACCTTGTCTGCTCTATGCAGAGATTCATATAATTCAGTGTAATTTTTGTACAGAAAAAAATTGTAATGCAAATAATACAATATGTATTTTTGAGTATTGTATTTTTATAAAAAATCACATTAGAAAACATATACTGTATTATTATACTACTGTATATGCAATGTGTTTAATAAAAATAATTGGTTTAATTTTTTAATGTGTATTAGTACTTCAAATCTGGATTATTGAGAGTCCCTCTTTTATTAGGACACCTGATCTATTATAATCCAGTAATGAGCAACAACAAGCATATTTCATCCAATAAATCCAGGGGGTCCATTTACTGTAATTCAGTTGTAGATAATTTCTAGTTAATTGTATATACTGAATATATATCACTGAGTTTATAAAGTTCTTCTTTGCTTGGTACCTTATAACCACATGCCAGTCATACATCTACTATACGGATATTGAACTGTTATTGTTGCTGGTATTTAATTTTGATCTCATTTATACCTCTGCCTCTGTGTAGTTTTCGAGACCCCACCTTCTGGGATATGACTTGTGTTTGATTTTGTGTCTCCACTTACTGAATTTTTATAATACAGAGCTTTTCATTGAAACTGGACATTATAACTGACAGCCATTTTGAGAAATACTTGAATTAGCTTATATTTACTAAATGTAGCACACATGTTCTCTAGTACCAAATAAATTGCTAGATAATCATATGAAATTGCAGACACTATATATTTATTGTAAGTAGTTAAACAAATTTCTTCACATTTTTTACATTTTTACATTGGGGTCACATTGCATACTAGATAAATGTTTTGCATTGAGCCCATTAGGTGCAACATTCAATGGTACTGTATCTTATTTTCTTGTGGCTCCCTTTCATACGTGATCATGATTATTGCAGTAATTTAAACAAATTTAACCTCGTGATATATAGATATTAAGCCACAATATTGTGACTTAAATAAAATGGCTAAAAATTTTACACCCAACCCACAAACCTGAAAATATAAGAATAGTCTAGGACAGACGGAAATGTAGTCAGTTCTTTTATCTTCAAATTTGTGGATTGGGCATCTGTCTGGTGATATATTTCGAAACTAATTGTATATTAGATTTTTGTTGTGCATTAATTTTTGGCCAATATCTTAATAAAACATGAGCCAAATTACTTCATATATAAGACACACATGCCTATGAAAAACTTGTACTCCAACTTATAAAGAATTTGAGATATGCAAACATTTAAGAACAAATTTAAATTTCCAAATATTAAGTTCCTTCATAGTGTACATGGTAATTAATACTGTAGTATTATATAAATGTTACATTTACTCTCCGGCTTACACTGTACTGAAGAGCCCAGTCTCAGTGATGATTAAAGGCAGTAAAGACAATTTTTAAAGGTTTCACTGTAAACTCATGAATACTGTGTTTTCTTATGCCTCTTTTTAAAATTATATATACGTGTACATTGGATTTAAAGATTGTTGATTGATTTAAAGTATTGTAAATTAAATGTGGAAAAAACAAGTGCATTAAAGTGTATAGATGGTCTATGATTACTTGATCAATTCAGAAAATTACTTTAAACATTCTCTTTATGCAGATTGAAGAAACCACAAATGAAGGCCCTAAAAAGATATCATTAAAAGATCGAATGAAGTTCTTTGAAGATGAAATGAAGAGGGATAAGATTGGACCCCCTAAAGGTAAGTCTAGATATTATATTTTAAATATCAAAGCACATTTAAGTAGTTCATTGCTTAGTTAAATGTTACATGTATTTTAGATGCTTCAAGCAGCCTTGATACTATTGTTGTTGCATTTTAGATTGACAGTAATGTATACTGTGGTCATAACGTGTGAACTGGAAACATGGTGTGCAAGTTGCTTTGTATGGCTCCATGAGGATGAATGCTTCTCAGCAGAGTGTGACAAGTCAGTCCTAAAATTGGTGCATTGGTGAATTTATAAATCAATCTTTGGTTGTGTTAAAGAAAAATATAAATTTGGATGAAAAGTGTCAAAATAAGGACCTAAAAATTACAAGACAGCAACAAGGGGTATTAGAAGCATCAAGAGTATCAGAATTTCACTAAGTTATGAAACTGCTGCTAAATTATTTAAAGATCAAAAAGATGGGTAAATTTTGAAAAATTGGTTTGGTGTTGGGCTTAGTGCCTATCAACCTCTGAAGAGTTATTAAGGCAACCACAAGTGGGTACTGACCAACTAACAAGAATGCTTTAATATTGATCGTAGTCCAGAACTCATTATTATCAGAAATCCCCCCCCCTCTTTTATCTAACTTGATGCTTCTAGTGTTGTCTCCATCACATGTGATGAACACAATGAAACGTGTCACATAGGTCATCATTTCTGTTGTCACTTTTGTTGCCTCTAATCATTGATGTGCAGTTTGGTGGGACTTCACTCATATAGCCCTTGGACTGTTGGCACTGCCAGTCTTTTAATCCATTTGGGCATTCTCATCTAGGTGTACTAATCTAGATGCGCTAGTGAAGTCGAGCTCCTAATCCCACGTGTATGCACATATGAATGTTTGTGTGTGTGTATATATCAATCCTGCATGTGTGTATATATGTATTCATGTATTTTGTATGTATATATGTGTTTATGTATTGTATATGTGTACAGTATATATGTATTCATGTATTGTATATGTGTACAGTATATAGGTATTCATGTATTGTATATGTGTACAGTATATATGTATTCATGTATTGTATGTGTATTCATGTATTGTATATGTATTTGAGCACGCGCACACACAGTAAACCCACACATCAAAGATGTTGAAAGGTGGTGGTGATGCGATCCATTCTTGACCATTATCAAGTCAAATTTGGTAGTGGTGAAACATCACTACCTTATAACATTTTGCAACATGCGGATGCGGTGTTTATCATTACCACCCCTAATATTGTGATCATTTAAATATTTGCACATATCAGCCATATAGTCATTATTAATCGAAGAGTAATAACTGCTTATGTGATATAATTGTAACCTTGTATATTATTTGCTTACAAATGTCATATTAACCCATTACAAGTGCACTTCACCCATCTAAATTTTTGTATTGTGTATTTTTTTTTAAGTTCCTGCATGATTGTACATTGTTGATTTTGCATGACTTTGTTACAGAGAACAAGAAGTTCTCTTTCCTGAGCCAAGACGAAGTCGCCAATATGAAGGAAGATGAAGGTTGGTGTTCTAGTGTAAAAATAAGTAAATCATAGTTTATATGTGTGTGTGTGTATATTCTGTATCTATCTATCTCTCACACACACACACACACACACACACACACACACACACACACACACACACACACACACACATACATACATACATACATACATACATACATACATACATATATATATATACATACAGCATACATATACCAAAAGATCACAACACCGATCTTCAAAAAATTCAAATCAACCCCTTGAATGGAAAAGATATTTTCATCTGAGCATGCTTTTGGTAGTAATTCCCTTCATCAGAGATGAGAAAAGACTAAGACACAAACAGGGAAGAAGGCAAAGTTACCTTCTTTCCTGTCAGTGTCTGTCAGGTTACGTTTGGGTGAAATATATATGGAATTGTGTGTGTGTGTGTGTGTTTAAAGTAAAGGGAGAGGTGAATATATTCAGTGTGTTAGTGATGGATCTTAATGGAAAGACTGAATGAAAGAATGGTGGGAAATGACAGTACAGTTGTGAAAGGATTTGAGGGGGTAAGTGTTAAGAATAGATTAAATGTATTTTGGTAAAAAGAATGAGGGAGTAGCTTTTCATATCAGAGATTGGAAATGAGTGTAAGACAGGCATAGAGATGTATATGTCAGCACATATGTTCCAGTGTGTAAGGAGAATATCAAAAGGAAATGAAAAGATACAGGTGTTATGGAATCATCTGAATGATAGTATGAAGAAGCTTCGAGACAGTAGGAAAGATATGTTTAGAATTCGAATACTAGAGCAGGAAGTAAATGCAGAGGACTTGTTGGAAGTGGGGTTTTGCCAGGAGTAAATTAGAATGGGAGATATTGTATCCTGGATATTTGTTTGACGAGAATTTTTGTTTTTTCTAATTACTTTTATGTATTTACATGTATAATAAAAATGAGAAAGCTCATTGGCCCTGCGCTATTTGTATTTAAACATTGTTCTTATTGCTATAATTAGATCGTCGAGTAGCAGGCATGACTGCAGAAGAACTGGCTAACCTCTCCCGTTTAGATGACGTGGAGGAAATGGCAGACGACTTGGCACATCAGTTTGGTGTGAATAGCGAATATGATCATCGAAAGTACAATGACTATGACCTTAAAGAAGGGCTTAGAGAAATAATTGAAGATGACAACTCAAAAAGGTAAATCAGAGTTTTTAAATTATTGTTGTGTACTTGTGCACAAAATATCACTTGAAAGATTTGGGCAAGTTTCAGAGAGTATATAATGAATACTGGTAGTTAAAAAATTTGTCTATAAACTGCACACTTCTAATGACTTTTTGTTAAAATTTTATACTATCTGCATTATCACACAGCAGAACTTGTCAAACTCTCTCCACCTGGTTATCCTGGTGATAGGAAAGACACTGGAAAATACTCGGTCTAATCCAACCCAGAGAGTTCTTTTCTATAAAATTCAGTCTTTCCAAGAGACTTTGCTTCACATGGGCTGTCAAGCAGCTGCCTAGCAAAAACTACCGAATGGACAAGAAGATCACATCCCCCACCAAGTGACAATCAGGTGGTTTGTCCTCAGGCTAAGAAAACCCCACTACCAAGAACAGAAAAGTAAGAGAGAAAATGGAGCAACCAGGTGTTCTGTTCAGAAAATTCATTTTTATATGTACTCAAAATCTAATTTGTGAGCTATCCCACATGTTGCTCCCTAAGGTAAGCAATGACAGACATCATTATTACAGAGCAATAGTAAGGCTCATCTGGGATGCAGAGTGGTGTGAACAGAACCTGCAGGAGAAGTGGCTGGAGTGATAGCAGCAACAGCATTACCAAGCACCTAACCTTATCAGAGAAAATGCTCATTATTATAAAATCCTGTCCAAGGTTACACACTGGAAGTGCAGATGAGGAACTTGAGGGATGAATTAAGAGGCAATCATGGCAATCATATATATAGATATAACAAAACTGAAGTTCTAATTCAACATAAGACATGTAATGGACATAAATTCACTTGAACATGTACAGAGAAGGGTAATAAAATTAATCTCAAGAATTAAATATGACACTTTTGAACACAGATTAATAAGGCTTAATTTAAATTCTCTAGGAAGACAAAAAGTGGGAGGTGACATAATTGAAGTACTGTACTGTATATAAATAGATAAAAGGATATAACTAAGAAAATATAAATAAGATTTTAAATATACGAACACAAATTAGGATACAAAACAATGGATAAATATATTGAAGAAGTTTAGATTCGGGAAAGACCCTGGTAAATACTGGTTTGGAAATAAGATTGTCGATTTATGAAACAAATTACCAGGTAACATATAAATGTTGGATCGATACAATGTTTGAAGTATAGGTTATGCATGTATATGAATGACGTTGGGTGGATATAAATACTGTAGGATATAAGTAGGAGCTGTCTCGTAAGGGCCAATAGGCCTTCTGCGGTCCTTTGTCATATTTCTTTGTTCTTAACAACATCTTCAGTGTCAAAAATTTCCAGTGATCATGAGCCCTACAATAAATCTGATGATTTGCTATGCCACAAATTAACTGAAAAATACAGTAATTTGTGCCAAGAGGCGAGCAGATATGCACTAACAAATGGGCAGCAACATCATAAACAATCAAGCTTGAAAGAGGTCTTAGCAAGATCAAAATCCACCTCTGACACAGGTCACACACACACAGGTGAAAATTATCCCATAACCAACAAGAGCATACCGGAAATAACAGGACTGGACACCATGGTTAAAAACACAAAATCACATGCTGGAGAGATACACACAACTGAGTCAGGCTCAAAGCCAGCTGGGAGCACAATAGGGCCTAAAATGTGGAGAAGTTGCACTACAAACATTTCTGAACTATCGGGCTAAACCGACCATCCTCAGAGCAAAGCTCGATGTGGAAGCTTGCCCACAGTAGATGTGTATTCAGCATACATCTACTGAAACCATACTACCAAAAATGGAAAAGGGTTAGTGTAGCAATGTAATCAAGAGAAAGAAAAAAATAACTTCTACACCCCTATTGATAGGCTTGAGAGTACGGGCATGATCAATGTGTGTGTAAAAGTCAAGCAATGAGTGGTAGGAAAGGTAAACCTGAAACAAAGATGAACCAGACAGCTATAGTAAAAAAAAAAAAAAATGTAAATGACTGGGAACCATTCTGTGGAGTGAACATAAAAGCAATGGACCTTTCACAGCAGAGACTAGTCTCAGAAAATACCAGTTAGCTTAACTGAATCCAGCCTGCAGAGCTGGCTGAGAAGTGGGTAGATATCAAGCAACAATTGCTGACTCTTCTGAACGTTTGCTGTACTACTGTTGCTATTTGATGTCGGTCAGTGTAGCGAGTAATTAAGTAACCATTATTTTGTTTTTGGGGGGGGGGTATTAACTTTCCTGGTGATTGCAGTTATTTCCTGATAAGGGTGTTGAGTGATATAAGACTGTTTGTCCTATAATGATCAGTTGCATGTCCAGAAATATGACATATAGGTATGCTAATGTTTAGTCTAGCAGTTAAATCAAGTATAACCCCTGTTATACCTCGGTGAAGCTGAATACAAGATTTTATCTATTACCCAATTCTTTTAAGCCCTGCAAGAGGTCCTGTCTACTTTGTTACAGTCAAGCAAGGTTACTCTAAAATTTATTTTTAATAACAGTATTTCAATTTCAAGCAGCATGAATATACAGTATTCATCTTAGTTTCACTTTCTTCAATCAGTATCATACTTGTATCTTATTTATAATTTAAGTTAATGTGATTGCTCTATTACAGATCAAACAATGAACCAGGCATAATTCGAACAGCAAAGGCAGAAAGAAGAGCACAGTCAAGGGAAGGTCAAGTGAAAGAGGAGGAGCAATTGTCCCCTGCAGACAAACGAAGAGTTGAAGCTGAGAAGAGAGCTGCCTGGAGACAAGCAAGACTTAAAAGTCTTGAGAATGTAAGGATTTTGAAGTAATAGAAGTTTATTGGAGTATTTATTCAAGACAGCTATGCCAGTAACCATGTTAATTATTTCTTGGTTTCCTAGAGCTTATACACTAGTATCCCAGAGCAAATACCATCTCACCAGTGATCTAAGACTGTCTCGTAGCCTACTGGGAGCATAGATCAGAATTCTACCACCCCATAGAGGTTGGGAAGTTAGGTGTCATGATGTACCACACACCAAGGGGGAAAAATAAGCATTGAAAGTGATGAAATGCCACTATCTGGTTGGTAATCCACTTCCTGGTTTCCCTGTGTAGCTCTTTAATCCTTCATACTCTGTTTTCAACAAATTGAGTACTCTAATAGTATTATTGTTTTACACAACCTTTTCATGATACAGTATATTAACCCTAATTTCCTTATGATCATTGTTACTTAATTTTCTCCCTATTTTGATGGTGTTTGCTGGTTTCTCCCTGTTGGCTAGCCTTAAGTCTAATATTGTACATTGTTTTCCTGTGTTAGTTTCATTATGTATTGTTTGAGAGATCATTCACCATTTAAAAAATTCTTTTGCTGCTGCATTTCCTGTTTTATGAGTGCAGTTTATTCTACATAAATTTAAGTCAGGTGCAATTCAATCATTATTAGACCTAGATGCACTAAACATTTCTGCCCATATATGCCTTCCTTCCAGTGATGACATTTAATGGCCTATAAATAATTCTTGTCTTCCAATAAATTAGGCTGTAAATATTTTGATTTAATTATTTCCACAAAATTTTTTTATTAAGTAGATTTTATTCCATGTTTGACACTACATTTTAAGTACAGTACTCTCAAATTTATTTCTACTTCCTCTCCTCATCTGATGTACTACCTGCTTTTCAACATAATACATTTGGCACACCAAGAGTACAGGATTGTATCTTGCTCTGTCATTGTATACTTCAAAATATTAATGTAATTTTGTTATCAACAGGATGCTTTGCAAGCCCAGTATGTCATAGAAAAATACAGCGAGCTGTCTGACACAACAAACGGTGAGAAAACATGAAGAGTTATTTTCCAACAGGTTATAAATAATAATTTCTTATTTATCATTAATTTCAGATCCTCAGAATTTGATGTACAGTAATTTTATTTATAATATAAGCTTGTATAATAAATGTTCTTTTGAGAAAATGGGTAAATTATTTTTTTACTTCTAATATCTATATTATCTAAAAAAATAATGTGTACAGTACTTGAGGCAGGAAGCCCAGTGCAACTTATTAGGAAAAGTTACACAAAGGTGTGTGTTAGTTGTTTGTCATTTGCCATTCTTTCAAAACTAATTAAATACAACACTTGTGATGTTTAAAGGAATAAAAATTATCAGAATTTGTGTTTTTAATATGGATTACAAATAATACTTGCATTACAAAAACATCATCAAATTTTTCAGTGAAGGCTCTTACTAAAAGCTGGTAAATCATAAATAGTTAATTATGCTTATTTTATATGTTAAATTGTGAAGTGTGTATTAGAGTTGCTTATTTTTAGTGTATGTATCTTTTCACTCCTCTCCAGAGTAGTTGCTAAATGAAGGTTTGTATAACATCGGTCCCTAATAGTTTGTTCATTAACAAATGGGAAGTACAGTATTAGTAATTCATATTGTTAAGGTAGAACACAAGCCAGGATCTAGGCAGTATGCTTGACTTTAATTGTGTATTTTTGTGCATGATCTTAGTGGTGTATAAATTGTTTATTTTCACACTCAGGTCTAATGTGGTGTAACTTTATCCTCTGTGATGCTGCCCGATATTAATTGTTATAACTGGGATATCTCCAGTAAGGGTTTATAGTGTTGTCTGCCTCTCTCTACACTAATTTCTCCCCATCTTCCTATATGGCCAACTGGAGCATCCCTTTCTTATGGGCTTATGCATATTCCTTTTAATGTGTTTAGTCACACTGGTTACTTTAATTAATATGTTTAGTAACACTGGGTAATGTTTTACAAAGTTGAAGAACTTGAAAATACAGTTGCTGAAGTATACCTTTAAAGTTTATCAGTGCTAAAAACATTTAGTATATTTGTTGAACCTAGAACTAAAGTAGGATGGCATACACAGAATAATTTTAAGATGTTCATTAAAGTATATTTTCTATGGCCATTTAGGACCTCAGAAATTATCTACTAGAAAAAACACAAAACACACTTTAGCTTGTAAATCCTGAACCATTTATTTATATATTCATATTTAATACAATATTGCAGTGTGGGCAAATGCAATACCAACCATTTTTTTTTTTTTTTACCAAACTATTCTTTTCTCCACTGAAAACTGTTAACCATCACATACTCCAATGTTCTGGTATTGTGTTCTGATCCTCCTCTTCCTCCTCCTTCGATCATTTACCCTTCTTGCGTAACCTTTTTTTCCACAACTTGTCACCACCCATTATTGTCATAAGCCTCCACTACCAAAGAACAGAGAACCCTCACTTTATTTGTCTTACATGCATTTGTGTTTATTATAGTATAGAAGGCAAAATTATTTGTTTTACAAAATCATGTGCTTAGACTCTTACAAAATTTTAATTTAAAATTTGAATATTGAAGTTTGAGTTAATGCAATTTACATCAATATTTCTAACATTGTGTTAAAGTATTGCAAGGTTGTTTACCTTCTTCCTTCTTTACAGCAACCACAAGTTTCTCTTCTTAACAGTAAGTTGTAGATCAACTTTGATCTTTCTGGCTAAACATCCAATGACAGGCCAGATTTGAATCCTTAACATCCAAATCACCATATCCTACAGATAACTTGTTTAGCAACATACTAACTACAAACAAAAACAATGTGATGACTCAAATTAAGTTTGGTTTAGGATAGGCAGAATTCTGTACGTTGACTGGAAACAAATTTGTTGTAAATGTCTCATTAAGTGATGGCATTTTGACTTGGTATTAGCTGTGCACCTGAATGCTGTATTAACATACCCAAATAATTTTACATTTTTCATCATTTTTATATCATCATCCTAATCATTATGGCTAGTCATATATTTAGTGGCTGGAGATTTCAAACAGATTACAGTAAAGTCTTGAAATTTATAATAAAATAACTTAATCGTTAATAGTGATAGATTCCAGTTACAGTACTTAGATATGGTAAAATTAAGAACTTAAATGAAATACAGAGCACAAGATACAATCAGATCTCATAGAAGTAAAGCATGGCGCCTGACAGCTGGGTGGACAGCGCTTCGGATTCGTAGTCCTGAGGTTCCGGGTTCGATCCCCGGTGGAGGTGGAGACAAATGGGCAAAATTTTTCTTTCACCCTGATGCCCCTGTTACCTAGCAGTAAATAGGTACCTGGGAGTTAGACAGCTGCTACGGGCTGCTTCTTGGGGGTGTGTGTAACAAAAAAAAAGGAGGCCTGGTCGAGGACCGGGCCGTGGGGACGCTAAGCCCCCAAAGTCATCTCAAGATAACCTCAAGATGTATAGGATCTGGGAATAATGTCAGATGACCTAACATTTAGTGAGCTTAACAAAATATATATAACATCAGCCAGGAAAGTAAGTAATTATCAAAGGAAGGCCTCACACCGGGAAGGCTATGTAGCACCACCAAATGTGCGGAGTAATCAGAGGGCACTAAATATCACCAAGAATGCCAATACAAGAATAGAAACGTATAAGGCAAATGATATCAAAAGTATCCGATTCAACAAGAATTCTATCAAGGGACAAATGACCGTGAGGGACGGTTGGAAAGCAAGACACACGCTCATCCTGGAAGTCAGGATATTCAACAATGTGCTTGACCATAAGGGGAACAATGCAATTTGGACAATAAGGAGCAGGGTGGCGCTCCATTAAATGACCTTGAGTTAAACATGTATGGCCAATGCATAACTTAGCCAGAACTGTCTCCCACTGCCGGTTACGGTGGTAGACAGAAGGCCACAGGGACACACGATTCTTAATAGTACGCAGGTTCTTACCAGTAACAGAAGACTAACAACCCTGCCAACGGGCAAGGATGGAGGAATGAATAACTGGATAAAAGTCGGAATAAGGAATACCTTTACGGGAGATGGGACAAGTGTGGATAGCTTCCTTAGCGGCAGCATCCGCACACTCATTTAAATTGACACCAACATGGCTGGGAACCCAGCAAAACTCTACCGACTTAAATTTACTGGAGATAAGAAACAGCCAATGTTGAATCTCGATGACCACCGGGTGGATCGGATTAAAGAACCCCAAAGCCTGAGGGTACTAAGAGAGTCAACTACCACCACAAAGGAGGGGTGACAACAAGAAAGCAGGAGACGAAGAGCATAGAGAATAGCATAAAGTTCTGCTGTGAAGATGCTAACCTCTGGAGGAAGGCGACACATATATGTGTGGTCAGGAAAAACAACAGAGTAGCCCACACCGTCCGCAGACTTAGACCCATCAGTGAAGATGAAAACGGAGTGGGATTGTGAAGAAAAGTGCTCAAGGAAAAGGCGTTTCAGAACTGTAGGAGGGGTAAAAGCTTTAGTGATGCAGGTCAGGTAAGTACAAAATTTGGGAAGGGGGACCCTCCACGGGGGCAAGGACGGAACAATACGAGGAGAAACATTAGTAATATGAAACGAAAAAGAATCTTGTAAGCGAGACATGAAAGTGATAGGATAGATTATAAGACCCTTCAAATCCATGAATCTCACCACAATGCTCTACTGTTCAAATCACATGGGCTTTCTTGCCTTGAATATACTGCTTGGTACTTACTTTCCTGTTCTTCAGAAGAAAGAATTTTGAAATACTGGGAATACCGAGAACATACATGGCACACATAGGCACGCTAAAGCACCCAAACTAAAGGGACCATCTCAAAGCTCTCAATGAACTTTTTAGAAAGGAGACGAGTGGGGTATCACATAATGTGAACTGGAAGGCTAGGTTCCAAATTTGCACAGTAAAATAACAACATACTGGAGCAAAAGATATGGTAGGAAGTGTAGAATAGACCCAGTGAAGAGTAGAGGTGCCATAGGTACAATCAGAGAACACTGAACGTCAGGGGTCCATAGCTCTTCAGTATCATCACAACAAACATAATAAATATTGCTGGTACAAAAGTGGACGTGTTCAAGATAAAATTTAAGAAGTTCCTGCAAGACGTGCTGGACCAACTGGGTTATAGTGGATATGTGAGCTTGTGGGCACCTCCAAGCAACAGCCTATTGGACCAAATTATCACAAGCCTAGTCCCAGACTGAGCTTGGAGTAGAACCATCAGAACCCACTCTAGGTTTTCTAGGCAATGATACTCGTATGATGAGGATGGGTGCACATCCCCAATCATCTTGAGGTTTCCAGACAGTGTGTATGAGCATATTGGTGAGGAAACAGGACCCATGGAACACACCTGGTGGACCAAGGTTCTATCCAGAAAAATGGAAAACATGCATTTGGAAAAAAGAGGGAAGACACCCAAGAAACCAGGGTTCACAACCAGTGCGTGGGGCCATAATCTGGGAAGTCAACTAGATACAAAGGGTTTGCACGCAAGGTACCAATGAACACACCTGGAAATCCAAGGCACACACATGCAGAAATCTGAGGTACCTACCTAGCCAACATGATAAGTTCTGCAAAATTCAGGACCTAAAACCAGAGAGCCTAAAGAACCCCCTTTCCTCCCCCATGTAACCAGAAAACATACCTGAGGCACACCCTTAACTTGCAGGAGGGACATCCAAAGTACTAGTGTATATGTATGGGGAGCCAGAGCAATCTCCTGGGAAACCACGAAATCCCCCACCCCCCTCATGAGACACTCGGGAAACAGGAAATACTCCCAAAGTGAGTCTATGTATATGCAAAAGGCATATGCTCAGTGAAAACAATAAATGGTCTCAATGTTTCGTAAACAGAAAACCAAGCACATAAACTTAAAGTAGTGGCTTAATTCAAGAGGAGCCATGCCATACTGAAGGCAATATCACTGGCTATCAAGACAAAAGTATTCCTTCTGGGTTGCTCCAACCCTAGAAAGGCACTGCATAGGTCAGTCCAGGCCTCACAAGGCATCACCAAGTAGCACCTGGTCCCAAATGCTGATATTCCAACTGGCCACCTCTACTGACCACTATTAGATGGCAGTATCTAAGCCAACACCAGATCTCCAGCCTCAAGTCCTGTCAATTTTCCTGACTCATCCCCATAATATTTGCATAGGCTCAAAATCAGATTTATTTAAGCAACTTAAAAAGTTACATCATTCTTAGGAAGCCTTGACTTTATTATGGGCAGTGGACTCATGCTGAGTACTTGCCACTTTCAGGCTCCAATTCAGGTTGAATTGCATGCAAGATACACAGTTGGTATCTCATGATCAAAATGAAAGATAAAATTTTGTATGCATTAGGAATGTCCTTAGAAAAGTGATCCATGCATGAAGACACAACATTGCCCTCTGACATGCATGATACCATTATGGAACTAGATGACAAGCTAGATGATCATGAATGTGATTAAAAGGGTTATTAGTATTTACAAATATTGTCTTCCTCATTTGGGATAATTAAATTACAGGTATTAAGAGTATCTATATTTGAAATTCACATCTTATACAAGTACACCTTCTTTTATGTACGTGTTCATTTCTTGTGTCGTCTCTTTGCTTTCTGAATGTATGTGTGTCTGCCCCATTCCAGATAACACTAATAATGACAACTCAATTAATAACTTCAACATCGTGGATGAAGAGAATAACTTGTCCGTAAGTAGCGCGTTCTTAGCTCACGCTCAATCACTTTTTAACACCCCTTATAGAATAAGCATATAGTCTGTAGTTGCTTTTTTATTTTGCCAAATATTGAAACAAATATCTCATTCTTTAATTTTAGGGAAGAGAATAGAGCTTGTGACTCATAAGTACTGTATACAGTATCTTGTGCTTTATGATTGGTTTTATCATAATACATTGGCCAGTGTTTCTTAACATTTATTTGCATGAGATTCTTTTTCACTTTTGAGCCATTGATTGGAAGGCTATACGTATACAAAAATATTTATTTAAATTAATTTAATTACAAATTTTTTTTTGGTTATCGATAGACTTGACAGTAACTTGAAATGCATTAAATTATGCATATATTACACATAGCTATACTGTATATACATTAAGATTTGTGTGCATTAATCATAAAGAAACACAGTTTTGTTGTGATATTAAATAACTGCAAAGGGAAAATTAAATATGAGATTACTTGAGCACTTTAATATATTTTAATCTACACAGCTTTTGGTATGTAGATAAATGTACATGAAAATGCTTTAGTAATCTATTCCTTTGTTGTTGTGTGTGTGTGTGTATGTATGTATGTACTCGTGCATGTTTGCATGTGCATTCCTTGTCACACAGTAAAGGAAATGTAGAGAGGATAAGGAAAAAATCAGGCAATTACAGGGACAAAAGTACTGCCTTTATCTGAATTTACTGACATCCATCATATCTAGTTGTCTTGCTGGGAGAAGGTAGCCCAGAGCTTATGAAGGCTTACTTCATTTTCCAGCTATATTTTAAAATTTAAACAATTGCTTTTCTTTAATGGTTTCAGTGAGTAGATTGTTCCACAGTTTAACTACTCTCTCTGGCAGTATTAATAATAGTTCTATTACAGTTCTGCTTGATGATTTGGCAAGCTTGAAATTGTAATTCTCTCTCTCTCTTGTTTACGAAGTATTAGATACCTTAAGAGGGTTTAGCTTTTCTATTTAGTTTACTCTTGGATGTGTTGATGAAATCTGCCTTTAGGGGCTTTGTTTGGAAAGTTATTAGTCCCGTAGCCTTTAGTCTGTCTCCCCCTCCCCTTCCGGCCCGTTGGCGTCGTGAGGGGGCTTGGTGGACAGCTGCCGGAGTGTGATGCTCCGTTGGGCAGTCCTCTGTCCTTTTCTGGCCTTGCACTCCTGCTGCTGTCTTCTCCAATTGTGCCGGATCGCTTTTCCTTTTCCTTATGTTTCGTTTTTCTCCCCCCTCTTCTCCTATCTGCTTGTCGTTTCCTGCCGACCTTTTGCTTGTTTTGGATTCTTTCTTTGGACTTCTTCTATTTTGACGCCCGGGTGCTTGAGGAGGCATACTCTTGCACCCGTAGAACTGTAGTACCCGACGTCTCGAGCGAGGGGAACCTTTTATTGTCAATCCCCCTTTCGTCGCTGAACCCGATCTCGACGGACTGACGGTTCTTAAGGTGGCGTTTGTGGGGCGTATACTCACGACGCACCCCTAGGGGGCCCCGGCATGATCAGCGATAGCTTCCTGTTGGGTGTCCTGCCTCTAATTGTGGCTCCATGGTGGGTATGGGGGCACATTCGTGGATGAATTTGTCACTTTTCGTCTCTATGTCGTTGAATGTTTCCGTTGTACCCTCTCAGGCTCGTGGGGTGGGCGACCAAGCCCCCGAGTCGGCCTGTATTGGAAGACCAGGCTCTGTAGCTCCCGCTGCGTTGGGCCCCGACCTTGCTCCTCCTTTGACCGTCCTGACTTCTTCCCCCAGCTCCCCTCCCTCCTCTGAGGTTGGGTCGAGCCTCCAGCCCCCGGTGGTGACCACTTCGTCCCCTGGTGTGGCTAAGTCTTTCGTTGTGACTACTGCGCCTTTTGACCCTTCTCTCTCTAGGGGTTCTCAACGCCGTTCGCGCCCCAACCGCACTCGCTCGATTCCTTCCCGTGCTGATGCGTATCAGGCCTTGTTTGGTCCTGCTTCATGGGCCAAATACTTTGATCTCCTCCCTCTTGATTCTGCGCCTCCTGACGATTTCTCCCTCCATCGGCATCTTGTAGATTCCGTGGATGCGTGTGTTACTTTCAACCCCACTCGTCTCGGTACACGTGTCGTTGCTGCTCCTTCTCAGGATGCGGCTTCCCGCTTGGCTGCCTTATCTTGCCTTGGCGAGATCCCTGTTCGGGTCTCCAAGAACGTTCAGATGAATTCCAGTGTTGGCACTATTCTCCTCCCACCCCATGTTGCAACCGGTGTTCGGAATCTGCAGGATTGCCACGATGATATTCGGCATATCCTTGATGCCCAAGGCCATTCTGTCCTCCAGGTTGACTCGTTTACTCGTCCCCCTCGTGGTCGTCGCCGTCAACCCCTTCGCGTTGTGAAGATCACCTTTGATGGTAGGACCCTTCCATCCTCTGTCATTCTTGCTGGTGCTAGGTGCTCTGTCCAGGAGTATATTCCTTCTCCTCGACTTTGTAATAAGTGCTGGAGGTTTGGGCATGGTGCCCTCCGCTGCTCTGGGACTGTCTCTCTCTGTCCTTTGTGTGGGAGTGAAGGTCACTCTAAGTCGGAGTGCACTTCTCCCCAAGCTCGCTGCCTCAACTGCGGTGAGGCCCATCCTACGTTCTCCCGTGCCTGTGTCCATTACAAGCTTGAGGCGGCCGTCCTTAACCTGAAGCACCGGGAGCGTTTGTCTTTTCCTGAGGCGAGGCGCCAGGTTCGCCGGCTCCCGCCTTATACTAACATCTCTTATGCTCGCGTGTTGCGCTCTTCCTCTCCTCGTCCTTCCCCCCCTCCTCAGACTCTCAACCGTTTCTGGGCCTTGGACCCTGATACGCCCACTGCCCCCTCCTCTGTTCCTTTGAGTTCTTTCCCGAGGGGTCCCCCTCCTGGTCCTCTGTCTGGGGTTCCCCTTCTTTCGACCCGGTCTGTCATGTCTCCTGTGTCTTCTTCCTCGTCCCCCTCCGATCCTCCTTCCCATCCTCTTCCTCCATCTATCGGCTCTCCCCGCCGCCTGTCGGTGCAGGCGGATGTCCATCGCTCTCCTAACGGCCGTCGTGTGTGCTCTCGTTCGGCTTCTCCTGTTGAGACACTGGAATCCGTTGCCCGGTACGTAGTTGCTGGGACACCTGTCTCTTTAAGTCAGAAGCGTAAGCCTGGCTCCTCTCCTTCCTCTTCCCCGGCGGGTAAGAAGGCTTCGCTTTCTTCCTTAGCTCCTACTTCTGGCTCTGTTGCTCCTTCCCCTCCCGTTTCAGTGGTTGCGCCCCCTGTTCCTGCTATGGAGGTTTCTTTGGCCCCTGCTTCCCTTTCGGTTGCTGCTCTTGCTGGGGTGCGCTCCCCTCTTTCTACTCCCCCTCTTCCTACTGCTGTCCTTGACTGCTCCTCTCCGTTGTCTCCTCCTCTTCCTCCTCCTCCTCCGGACCCCGCCCGCCCACCTCTGGTCTGTTCTCCCGTTTCCTTCCCTCCGTCTTTGCTCAGTTTACCCATGCCCCCTAACCCTGACTTTGCTGACCCTGATCCCGACCCTGATATTCTTTAACGTGCTCTGTTGCTCTTTCGCCTTTGTTTCTTCCTTGTTCTCTGTTTTTGTCCTTTCTCTTCCCGTCGTTGTCCATTCTTCAATGGAACGTTCGAGGTTATTACGCCAATTTCCTCGAACTCCAACTTCTGATTTCGCGGTTTTCGCCCCTTTGTGTCTGTCTCCAGGAGCCAATGCTTGGTGCTCGTCCTGGTCGTTTTCGTGGCTATTCCTTTCTCTCCCCCCCCCCAGCCATTGCTGGGGCTTCTAATTCTTCTGCTCTCTTGATTCGTGCAGATGTTCCCTTTGTTCCTTTACTTTTTCCTTCGCCTCTCCATTGTTCTGCTGCTCGTATCTTTGTGGGGAAATGGTACACAGTTTGTTCCATTTATCTCCCCCCGAGTGTCCCGCTCTCTCTTCCTGATTTGAAACACCTCCTAGACTCCTTGCCGGAGCCTGTGCTCCTGCTGGGTGACTTCAATTGTCGTCATTCTCTTTGGGGTGACGTTCTGACGAATACCCGGGGTCGCCTCCTTGAGCCGTTTCTCCTATCTTCTTCCCTGTCTCTTCTGAATTCTGGTGAGCCCACTCATTTGGACTCTCGAACTCGCACCCTTTCTTGTCTTGATCTTTCTCTCTGCTCTTCTTCTCTTTACTTAGATTTCACATGGCAGGTTCTTGATGACCTCCATGGAAGTGATCATTTCCCCATCCTTGTTTCCTTTTTCTCTTTTCGCCCTTCCCTCTCTTTTCCTAGGTGGCAGTTTGCTAAGGCGGACTGGACCCTGTTTTCCCTCAGTGCTACTCTCTCTGACCTCTCCCTTCTGCCCCTCTCTCGCGCTCTCCTCCTTTTTCATGACACTGTCTTCGACGCTGCCCTCCGCTCTATTCCTCGCTCTTCCTCTCGGGGTCCGCGGAAGTGCGTTCCCTGGTGGAATGCGGACTGTGCTCGGGCTGTCCGCTGTAAGCGTGCAGCCTGGAAGAAGCACCGCCGTAGGCAGACGACCGATTCTTTTCTTTTCTTTCGGAAAGCGAGTGCGGTGACCCGTAGGGCCATCCGTACGGCTAAACGTGAATGTTGGGCATCTTATGTCTCGACAATTACGTCCGAAACCCCTCTGGCCCAGATCTGGAAGCGTATCCGCAAGATAGCGGGTAAGTTCGTTCCCGATGTTTCACCGGTCCTTCACCTCCATGATACTCTTGTGGCGGACCCGTTGCAGGTCGCTTCCGAACTGGGTTCCCACTTTTCTTCTGTTAGCTCTGGTCTTCATCTTCCCCAATCTTTCCTTCTTCGTAAACCTGTCCTTGAGTCTCGTCCTTTAGATTTCTGCACTCATCTTCAGCTTCCCTATAATGATCCCTTCTCTCTCTCTGAACTTCGTTCTGCCCTGGCCCTCTGCGGTTCTACGGCGGCGGGCTCCGATGGTATTCATTATGAGATGCTTCGCCATCTCCCTCCGAGCACGTCTCAGTATT